ATGTTCGATAAATACACACTGAGTACTGACAGAGCAGAAGCAGATACACAACAACAAAAAACAAAACTCCAACTACTTTGAAATCAACTGTGAAGAGATTTCTTTGACAGCCTTTGACATAGATTTGTTTTCATGTTTAAACTCTGAAATCACTAATGGCAGACCACTGTGGCTATGTCGCATGACAGGAAACAGGTGGGGTAGCAAGAGAACATGCTGTTACTGTCTAGCACTATGTGATGTTAATGGGACACCAAGGAGCCAGTCTGCAAGATCTGTGAGCATTAACAACAAGTCCCTTAACTACAGCGCAGCAACAACCACAGCACTGAAATCCTGCAAGGTGCAGGTCTGTACCAGCAACACGTTGCTGGGTAGAACTGAGGTATGTCAAGCAAGATGTTCTTAAACAAGACAATAGTCTTTGGGTTAGAGGGCAATCTTTATCATAGTACAGAAGCACATTATTGCACCAAAGTGAAATGGTGTATTTAGAAAAAACTTGAATTTTTCATCTTTAATTGTTAATGAGTAAAAGCTATCTCCATTTTGTTTCTGTAACTGATTTTGTGCTTTTCTAAATATCTTTCTAAACTGGATAAAGATCCAAATAACAAATACAACTCAGACTGGACATATTTGTTTGGTGAAAGAAGCTATTAAAAACAAAGACATTGGGAGAGTAAGCTATATATAAATGTGCTCCACTGAGTTTCAACCTTTTCCCCGGTTGGCCGGTCTTAATTTCAGTGTGCGAGGGCTGGCCCTCCTTAAGTCATACCGGTCCCAACACTTACTCTCCGGCCAAAACACCTACCTGTGACGGTACTTAACTCAAGGAGCTCAAGAAGTAATACAATGTTAACTAATTAAATGATGCATGCAGTATATATAGCCCTTCCTTGTCATGCACATCCTTGTGATGGCCGGCATATGGTGTAATTGTGTATTTCTTCAAACTGTAAAATCCTATTTCTTCATTTGTAAAATCCTTGCAAGAAACTAAATTACAATAAAACTATTTTTTTTTTGTTTAAACCAAACCACAATGTTCCTCTTATTTTTGGAGAACTTATGTTCGAATATTTTTCAAAAATATGTTGCGGTGCATTATGGGGTTTTGCATCTAAAGGCTAACATTTTCCATCTTACGTGCATTGTTGACAGGTTGGGATGTTGCCCAATCTGGCTGTTTAGGATGGCCGTCTATATCTTCAAGTGTACTAATGTGTTTGATATAAATATAGAAATTTGTTTGACAGCAACCAGGTGGCTGTCATGGTGTTAGAATTTTAAGATGGCATCTTTAACTAAAATTCACATCTCTATATGACATATTTGGCAACCAATTAACTCAAAGACATCAACAGAGAGTTTGTGAGGAGGCACAAAGAGTTTGTCCTGAAACTTCTCTGCAAGGGTGTTTTTTCCTTACAGTTTATTATAATGACAATTTTCGGCTGGGTCCTCATGTTAAAGCAACACCTATGTTCATATGTGACATGAATATGGGGCAAGAAAGGAGGCCCTTCTGCACAATTTAAGAATTTTAGTCAGGCTCATAATAAAAGAGCAGTTGAAGGCTGCAGGCGGCAAGATGAGGCACTCTGGTTAAATAACAGGAGAAAGAGGAAAGCTATGGAACTGTATGAAGCTAAAGGATACAAGCTAAATGATGCATTAGAACAAGCTAAAGCTAACCAATGTTACCTTGCTAAAATGGTTGTATACTCATTAAACCCAGTGTACAATGATTAAATGGTTAAAGAAATAAGTTACAATATTCTTGGTGGTTAACATGCAACCAATGCCTCATCTCCCTAGCAAATCCTTCACGACCTTCTATCATTCCGTTCATACTCAGTAAGATTGGAACCGCTTCCAAGCAGGTAGAACAAATACTAATGTTCCATTTAGGTTACAAAGGAAAAATCCTAAAAAGCAAGTTCAGCTGTCCCAAAAGGCATTGGATTGGTAATAATAGGACAGGGTGGGTTGTCACAATACAAAACTTCTATCAATGCAGAAGTATATGCATAAAGTTTGTGCATTAGTAAGAAAATCCAATTCTGAAAATAAAAAAAGATTTACATCTATTAAACACACAAAAAAATTTACTAAGCTGTTGAAAAATGTTTTTAAATTCAAGACTTTGTCACTCAATTCCATGAATTTATTGGATGAATAGCACATATAAAGCCTCTTTTGTCCTATTGCATAAATGTGCAATTTGGTCTTATATGGAGCAACAAAAAATGCTGTTTTCTACATTCTACTTTTGCCTCTCTCAGAGTTTTATATTTGCTTAGCTATGATTTCCAAGTTACAAACACATTGGCACACATGGTTTCTGTGGATAATCAAGAGCATTTGTTTATTCACTGAACAGTTTGAAGAGCATTCAGGATAATTTTCCTTTGAGAAAAGAAAATTCCCTTCATGTTTCAGCTGTTTAGCTGTTGATTAGATGTGAAGCTGGATCATTTTGAGGCTCGGTGCCCTGGTACCAATGGTAGGTGTCTTAAAGAGTCTCAAGATGCATGATAACACTGCCATCAAAATGTTTGGAGGTTTTTCTCTGACCATGAAACCTTTCTCCAGAGATCTATTGTTTTGTCAATGGAAGCGAAGAAATGTCAGTGAAGCTTCAGGATAGTTTGTTTTGGAGCTGGTGCCTCTTATTTGTTGGCACTGAGTTCATGTTTATTTTCCACTAATTTTATTGTACATGGTGACAATGTTATAGTATCTCTCGGTCAATGATACACTAAGGCCTTATGATCCTGGTAACTGTACAACCTGTTCAAATTATGGCAAAGGTGACTTATCATAAAAGCACTCGCTATTTTTTCTTTTACAAAACAAACTAAAGTAACTTGGCCTGAGCCTCAACCTAGTTGAAAATGCTCAGGCAATTATTAAAAGCTATCCAAAGAAGCAAACCTTTATAAATGACCTCTACTACTGTACTTTCCAATGAGTAATCAAATAGGCTTGAAAGGCATGTCTTCAGGGTATGACTAGCTAAACGTATTTGTCAAAACTTTAATAGGGGTATATATGTAACTAAAGCATATGTACTTTCTGCGGAGGATGATGAGAGCCCACTTGCCCCCACCCATCCTAACGACCTTCTACAGAAGCACCATAGAGAGCGTTCTGACCAGCTGTCTCACTGTGTGGCGTGGAGGCTGCAAAGCCACAGATTGGAAGAAGCTGAGAAGAGTAGTGAGAACACCGGAGAGGATCATCAGGGCTCCTCTTCCCTCAATTTCATCCCAGCGCTGCATGGCCGAACCCATAAAATCATCAATGACCCTTCACACCTCCACTATTGACTGTTCTCCCTGCTGCCCTCTGGGAAGAGGCTTCGTAGCATTTAATAAAGGTCCAGCAGATTCCGAAACAACTTATTTTCCAATGCTATGAGATTGCTGAATGTTGAAAAAAAACTCTAAATCATGTCACAGACATCAGGCATCAAACTGACCATATCAATTTGTTCTTTCGCACCATGTTTTTTCTCCCACACTGTTTACATTTGATCACTGCTGCACATTAAGGAAATGGAAATGTCATGGGAGCCGTACAAAACGAAATTTAATTTTGTATAAACTCTGTGTATACAAAAAAAGGCAGACAGTGGCGTTGGATGTAGGAGTTTGCCCTGAAATCGAAGGGTTGACGGTTCAAGCCCCAACTCCGACCTTCAGTGTCGTTGTGTCCTTGGGCAAGACACTTCACCTGCATTGTCTACTGATGGTGGTCAGAGGGCCCGGTGGCGCCAGTGTACGGCAGCCCCGCTTCTGTCAGTGAGCCCCAGGGCAGCTGTGGCTACAATGTAGCTTGCCACCATCAGTGTGTGAGAATGGGTGAATGAATGTAGTGTAAAGCGCTTTGGTCAAGTCTCCTAACTTGAATAAAGTACATGCCATTTACAAAATGACAATAAATGTTGTCAAGTCTAAGTCTAACTACAGCTACATCTGTTCTGACAATCTAGAAATAACTGTAACGTTTTTACCTTATTTTAATAGTTATCTAGATTGGCTATATGTAAACTTCTAAATGGCCCTAAATGTTTTTTGTCCTTTGCATATTTTCCAACTGTATGTGCAAAAATAAAAAAAACTCTTTGTTTTATCAATGTTTTTCAATGTAGAACTTTATATACTTTTCATATGTATAAGGCAACTGTGGTGGGACGAGTCAGTTTGTGAAAGACCCTAATTTCCAACATTCAGTAGCTTGAGGTCTTAAACAAATGCAATATGACTGAATTAAATCAATATAAAGCTGGGCTAAAAATAATAGACATAAATGTTTGGCAAAAATCTTTTTCTTCTTTGAACGGCTTGGAATATGAGTAGGTATTGAAGTACACATGAAAAAAGCTTTTACCCAAATTGACTTCCAGAGTCACACTGGGTAGCATGAAATATAAATTATTTTCAGTTGAGCCACAAAGGTATATCATCAAAAGAATAGCTTGCTCTTGTCTTTCTACATTTTGGAGATAAATAAATATGTCGAGAAAGATAATTTCCGTACATGTGCAAATATACAGTTGTGTATGAATGTTTACATTAAAGAAGGTCAAATAAATTGAAATTGAAATTGAAAAAAGGAATTATAAATAAAATGCAAGAAAATGTAAATCATGACATTGATTTTAAATATATAAAATGCATATATGAGAAATAATAATTACGGTAAGAGATAAACAAGCCTGGTGGAGCTCTTGAACTAACATTTTGAGAAATCAGGTGCTTTCTGTAATGTTCAATAAATGTTCAGACTTCTGCACCTGTTGACAGGAATGTTGGTTTATATTTTCAAAAACAATATCTTATTTTACTACATTATCATTTAGTAAATTTGTATTTTTCCAATGTTGTGTTATTTGAATTACTAGTGTGGATTTATCATTTTCCTCAATGGTAAGGTATGTAAATTTTCAAGCACCATTGTATTTGACAGGTTGCTTCGTAAAATAATACCTCGCTCAGCTCCTGCCTCATCCCTCCTTTCCATCAGCAGGTAGCGGGGACTTTCAGGGAGGAAAGGTAGGACACACAGCTGCAGCAATGACGGAAATGCCAGGAAAGTGAACAGGTAGTTCCACCTGGACTCCTGCAGTTGGAACATGAACACAAAATTGACATCAAAGCCTCAGAAACAGAAGAGCTACCATGTATTAAACAGACATATAGACATTAATATATTGAAGAACTGCGTATTACAATGGTTACTACTCAACCAAACAAATAAAGTCCAGTTATAACTGGGTTAATAAACTAATGAATAAAATAAAATAAAAACATTCTCACACCTATCAGCACCTAGTTTCAATTTATGATGCATGATTAACAGGGAAATCTACACTACCAAAGACCAAAAATGTGACAGAGTTCTGCAACAACTACGTAATCATATTTCCTGCAAGAGAAACATTAGTGCTGTATTCACCCCATTACATTCTTTTCATTGCTTGTCTGAATGGAGAGACAAGATTTATTATTTTTCCTCCCACACAGCATCATAAGTAAACCATGACCTGTGCATTTTAACACCGACATATACGTACAAATCCAATTTGACTTATGAAAAGTGCTTGCAAATGCAGCGAAAAAAGCCTATCAGTTAGAAATATTACTTTGTCTAACAAAGCCATTAATTATGTTCCTCAGTGATGCCCCTCTGAGACGCTTGATGGAATATAGAGGAAAGAATCTATTGTCTCCAACTGAGAAAGCCTGACGCCTCCGTAGATCCTAATCCTAGGAGATATTCTATACACTTTACTGTTTGTTGATGGTATCTTGGTTAACAGACAAAGAAATGTTTCAGATGCTAAGAGAAAAAAAAAACTTATACCAGAAAGGAATGAAGTACTGTAGCTAAGGTAAACAATTGTTTTTTTGCTCTTCAAGCATTAATATAGGTGTCAATGTGTGGTATCTACACACAGTCTTGGTGCGTTCACTTTGGATGTATTTCCAACAAAAAAGTGGCCACATTCGGGTACTGTCCTTTGCTTGACATAATGCCAGCAATTTGCATGTCACATTACAGCAATTTAAATAGTGGAGACAAACTCCCTTTCTGTCTCTTCACTGTGTCACTGAATCTTAGGAGCTTCAATCTGCTGCTGCCCTGTTTCACTTTAACATTGAACAAGATTTTAATTGAGCGAGTCCCTGTTCTTTATTTGTTATAGAAAACTGAATAAAGCCGTCTGCATTAACATCCCTGGGTTCACCGGACAAATCCAGTTTAGAGAGTAGTCTACCACCGCCAAATCCAGGAGCTGCAACTGGGTGACAATCACTTTGTAGCCGGAATCGGTTCAGTTGGAACGGATCACTGGATCCATTATGTTAACCTTACTTTAAAACAGGGGTCACCAACGCGGTGCCCGCGGGCACCAAGGGGCCCTCAAGGACCACATGGGGTGCCCTCAACACCTTCTGAAAACTCAGCAGTGGGCTAAGTTTGAAATTTTATTTTATTCTGTGACTCTTCTTTTTAATCATTTATAGAGCATATCATCATAATAATCATATAGGGCATTTTAGTATTTATAGAGATTTTAAAATTATAATGTTTAAAGGCAAATTAGAAATTTAAAGTTAACAATAAAAATGTGTTTAATTTGGATAAAGTTTAGGTGAACGCTGACCCCTCTTGTTCATAGGTCAGTATTGGTAGCCCATCCTATGATTCAATAGCCATGAAGTAGCCCTCAGCCTTGAAATGGTTGGTGACCCCTGCTTTAAAATCTATGCAAACTTGTTAAAAATAGAAATGAGAGATCATGCTGGATGCACAACTGATTGACTTACTGTGTTGCTTTACACTCTGCTCCCCTAGAATAAAATGTAAAAATAATTTTGGCAAACTTTACAAAAAGCTCTCTGGGAATAACTTCTCACTGGGCTTGTCCCCTTACAGACCATTCTGCAGTCTTTTTTTCTAGATGTGTTTTCTTTTTATTTAATGTAGATTCCATAATATTTTTCTGTTAAAATGTGATGTTTTGCTTTAAAAGTATTATGCAAAGCTTGGTCAAGACATGGGGCATTGGGGTTGTTCAGTGACAATTATTGCAGCTTTGCTCTGTTCGCATTGAGGAAAGGAACATTGAACTTCTTTTACATTTTTATGATTTTACCCAATCAAATGTGGGACATGCTTCGGTTTGTGAGACAGTGGAACAGAGGTAAAAATTGTTGTACTGCCCTGGATAAATTTGACATTTGGTCACCCTGACACCAAGTCTCTAACTCTTAATACTTAATTTTTATGGGTTGACTCAATTTAAATATTTCAAGTCATCAGCCAGGACATACTGATGAATGCACAGCTATTGGTACTCACTTTCACAGGAGTTTTATGACTCTACTCAGAGAACAACTCTGGAAGTTATTATTTTTGAAAGGGATTTATAGCCTTATACTATGTTGTATGTTGTAAACTGTTGTATACTGAAAAGAGAAGCTATTTGCTTTTTCTGGCAATAATGAGTCTTGTTCAAATAATGTAAAACCCAGCATGCTTTGATAGAGAAAATGAAAACACCAGGTGAGCCACATCTGCTCTGTATCCAATTATTGTAGGTTAAGTGTGTTTTTCTTTTCACATTGGGTCAATCTTAATTAAAGCACATTGTAAGCTTCTGTTTTTTTAAGTCTGCTTTGTGACAAACCTATTTAAGCTTTACCATGCCACGCTGAGATACAGATTCCCCCTCATCAGTAGCTGCAAATCTCTGCAGTTCTTTCCATCTTGGCCTAGCCTGATACCTGGAAAATGAACATTTCTCAGGAGCTATTCTATTAATGGCTAGAGAGCCAAACACTGTAGAATGTCCACAAGGTAAGAGCCTGGTTAGTAAATGCCTTTGGAAGACCTTATTTAGGCATCTGCTAGGATCAGAAGAAAAGCCTATCATCCATCTGCCTGCAGCTGTTTGTGATGAATGTCACCTTCTCCATAAGCCTATTTTGCTGATGGTCTGTCAGAAGAGCAAAATGACAGTTGGGCCTTGCAGATGTGTGATGCCACTCTTATTTGGAGAAAAATGTGTTAGGATTCACAGAGAATGATGGGGGATCAGATATTTTGTTATTGTTAATTACAGGGCAGATGCATAAAGGAATTTCAGATTTAAAATAGAGCATTTCTGCTAATGGACAAGGAGATTAAATGCTGACTGTCTCTGGTCAGTCATCCAACAACTTTGACCCTGTTGCTGTTACAATTACAAAAAGTAATTCAATTGTCTTTATTATATTAGTGTCAAAGTGCTAGAATGGAAATACGGTATGGAGTTTTTTAATGTGAGTTAAGCCATATTTGTCAACAACTGTGCAATTTCTGGCAACATGTGGTGGTAGGATAATGGTCTTGATATATATGAAGCACCCTTGAAATTGATCTGAGCTTCTTATAGCACTTTACAAAGCCTTCATCAGGTATCACCCCAAAAAATGCACATAAACAAAATGACTATAACTGAAGCCCTTTTTAGATAAATTGTGATCAGTCCTAGGCTAGTTCAGTTGTTTAAAATAGTTTATTTTTGTTTTGCCCTGTGAGATCGCCACTTTTGAAACTAGTGAAGCCTCCCCCATTAAACATTCATTGATCCCATGTTGGTCTGGTGAATAAAGAGCTAATCCAACACTTTAAATGCAAAATTATAAGTCCCGCAATAATAGTAGTATTCAGGTAAAACCACTTTATTTTTTACAAATGTCTTTCACTAACTTTTTCCTTCTCTGTATTGTAAATGCTCAGTGTGATAAATTCTAAAGATTCAAAATTCCCACAAAAATTACCTGTTTTGCAAGATTATAGTACATTTTAGCACACAGATGTTTAGAACATCTGGTTAAAAATAAATGTTTTGTTCAATATTTCAGTTCCATAAATCTAACTTAGATATAGGTGATTCAAGTTTGCATAAAAGTGAATAAATATTGCTTCCATTCATGCATTTGCATTTCAGAAAGCTTCCAGAGGTGTTAAATAGTTGAAGCAGATTTGCGCGTCAAAAAGTGGTAGATTCATTTCAATTGAGAATGTAGATTTGGAAAGTATGTAAACACAGACAAATCATCAGAAATAGTAGCTCAGGAAAGCCCCTGTTCCTGTTCAGAATGATATATCTTTCTACATCCAACAACTTTAGGTTCAGTCACACAGGAATATTTTCAATATCCTTCCAAGTGTAAAATCAAGTCCACTGACTATCTAACATAAAATTAATAAGATTTTCTCAATAAAACTACTAATCAACCCTTTTTTTCTATTTGCTCAACTCTCTAAAGCTATTGACTGATGTAATGGAGAACACAGGGTATAAATAAAGCTCATTAAGGCTCCTAAACGGAACTTTTGTCTTTTTCTGAAGCATGCTGACAGCCTGGGAACCCCATGGGCAATTAGTGACAGATTGGCTAAAGGCCTGCTCCTGCAAAACCTAAATAAACATGCTCCTCTACTGGGAGAAGGTCAGACGCTGAACATCAAGGTTACTTTAATTATCATTTGTCATGGCTTATCACAATTTCACACTCGACAACAAATGACATCTTGGACCAGCTCCCATTAGCAGACACTGTCATCGGGAGGAAACCTGATGGAGTCTCCATAAAGGCCAGCACGAAGCATGTCAATGCATTCATCACACATCATCCCTTGCGTAACAGCTAGAATGAAATGGGGGGGGAGCATGTTGCACAATAAATCAACAGCAAAAACGAGCATGCAACATCTATATTATATTTACGAAGGTTGCGGTTGAAACAATAAGTTTGTAAATATTTTTAAATATATATTTAAAATGATTCCCTTCTTTTGCTATAAGTCAGACCTTGAATGAATCTGTAAATTAGCTTAATCAGTCTCGAAATTGTTTCAAAACTTTAAACTTTAAAACACACAGTCCTTAGTGTTGCCCTATGATTGAACGGTGACTTGATCAGTATCTACAAAGCCTCATGCCTTATGACTAGTGCACACCATAGGCCCCCAGTCTCCCTCCAACATTGCAAGAATAAGCAGGTATAAAAAATGGATAATTATAGAGTTTTAAAAAATACTCTACATGGAGACCATTTCTGTTC